TTAAATACTTATTATACAAAGACAAAAAAAATGTTCGCATAAAACATGGCGACGTTTTTGATCTAAAATATTAGGATAATAATTATGAGTGTCTGAAATAAACAAAAGAAATATACATAGACAAAACTGGTTAAAATAAGGCGTTTCTTTTATATCCACTTTTTAAAGATTCTTAAATGTAAGTTTAAAAGTGCTTCGTATAGTCATACATTTTTATAATCATAATAACATAAAAATATGTAATAATGTATAATATTTGAATTAACAAACATATGTAATAAGTGTTGGAAAAATAAATAGGGACGTGATATTTTAACAAATTTTGCAAATTCTCCTTTAGTTTATTTAATGCTTTTTATTTCTTTATAAAAGTACAGCTCAACTAAGAAAAATCATATATGTGAATCCAAATTTTAAACTTTGTGTAATAAGTATTTATGTAAATTTTTTAAAGTTTCGTCTAAAGTGAAAACTTTTTATTAAGACTTTCTAGAAAAGATTTGCGGTTTTATAGCCAACTAGATCGCCCTCACCCGTTTCCCTGAGTGTATGCAACTTCTTTGTGCTACATTAGGCGTAAAGTTGGACAGTTTTGTTATTTTGAGGGAACCGTTCTGTTGTAGTTCGTTCACCTTAGTGAACTAGTTCTTTAGTTCAATTAACGGATACATTTATGTTATTTTAAACAAAATTAAATTATTAGTAGCTCTTTAGTTCAAGAACTACCCAAACCTAATTAGGAGTAATGTATTTCAATAAAACTCAACATACTTATATTATGCCAAAAACAGGAGATTTAAAATTTTTAAGCCACCTTTAAAATATTTTCAAACTAAAACTTTTTTAAACCTCTCTCTGTGATACTTTTTCTTACTTGTGCCGAATTTTCATTAGGCATTAATGTATGTCATTTAAAAAAATGCCATGTGGAAATGATCTTAACGACTATTTTTTTATCATTAAGACACGATTATTATTATTTTTTAATGCCCAACTTTGTCATTTACCATTTTTGCCATTTAATGCCTAGTGGAAATCGAGCATTACATGTAGTTTAGAAATTAAACCTTTTCGAAACTACTTCGATTGATACATTTGGCAACATTTTTAAACCTCTCACGTCTGACACTCATATTGTGATACATACATACATATGTATTCAAATAACCTAATTCCTATAATTCAAGTTGGATTTGAATTTTCAAATACGCGGAAACCCTGCTATACATAAGACTTTATCTATTAATACCTATATCGTAATAAATCATTTCCAACTAAAACCTTATTAAATCCCTTTCGTATGGCATCCATATTGTGATACGCATTTCAATTACTCAATTTCCTTAATTCAAGTAGCATGTGATTTTCAAACAGGTGGCAACCCTCCTACATATGGTTTTCAAAAACATTTCGATTGATGCCCACATTGTAGTAATTCATTTAAATTAATAGAATTTAATTTTTAAACGGGTGACAACCTTTGTAAAACACCTCGATAATATTCTAGATGTTTAACCTGAAGGTTTCCTAACAATCTTTAGTTTGAAATCCATATTTTAATTTTTCAGATAGCTTGCGAATAATTAATTAAAAATTGACTTTTCAAACCAATGGCAACCCCTTTCTTATTATTTTCAAACTACTATTACGAGTTCCAGTACTCTATCACAAATATCTCCTGAGATATGCAGTATGAAAAATTCCGTGTGTATGGAAGGTGCCACGCCCCCTCTTCTATTCGGGATTAATTCTATCGTATATTTTAAGTTGGGCTAAATGACACCAGTGCATAAAGGCGTGAAAGCGTAAAAAACAAACAATCTTACTTTCGGATTTACAATATTAAAATAAATGATTAAATTTTAGAATAACAATGTGGAAATTTATAGTTGTTAAAAAATCGCGTTGATTTTTGAGTACACCGAGTGACAGTAAATTTTACACACAAAAATATATTTGCGAAACCACGGGGAAAATATAGCAAAACTGCGCTTTTAGTTTTTCCCTCTGATGCCAGGATTTTTTTTAAGGACTTGGAAATTTCAAAAATATGATTATTTCAAAAATTGTTTAAAAAATTCAGGGCAATGTGCAAAAACAATGTGGGTATCAAATTAAAGAGAAAATTGGCAGGATTGAAGCAGATGAAATTTTTTGGTGTATAAGGACCAGTAGGTATTAAAAATGTTTGGCATAATGACTTGATAGAGTTTTTCTTGAAAAATTCGAACGCAAACACTTTTGAAGTCTCAAAATCCGTATCAATTGTACATAAAATAAATCCTTGCGAAATTGTATCATGTGTCAATGTATCTGTCACAATTTTTCAAAGCCCCTGCCATTGTAAAGCTCATACAGGTCATTGCTCCATCGTCTGCGGTACTTGCCGTCGCCGTCGCCAACGCTTAAATGCCCGTAAATATTTCGCAAAATCTTTCTCTCGAATACTCCAAGAGCCACCTCGTCGGATGTTGTAATACATACTATGTACATATATATGTTGGTTAAATCATAATGAAAGAAATTATTAAATTATCACTGCTGCACTGAAATCGTAAATGATTTTTCAATCCCAGATAATAATAAGACGGAGCGAGCTCACTAGATGACCTGCGCATCTTTGGCGATAAAATTTTTGTGGAAGTTAATTCATGTCATAGCTTCCATGTGATTTTCCTAGAAATTTTATATTGAACTAACTTCCATGGAAGATTTTTCAGATCGGGGTGGAAATTAAGTCTAAAATAACTTCCACCGGCCCATGGAAGTTGTGCATGGCAGCTGTAGTAGACATCACAAGATCCTAAATTTTTTCTACCTTGCCCTGTCCATCGCATGTCCTGGATGGAGGTGATGTCAGTCTTTGTCTTTTTGAGAAGATCCTCCCCATTATGAGGCCGGCAATTCTAAGTGCACGCCCTCAATCGTTGGCATCATCCGATGCTTGATTGGTTCTTCCATTGAGTTTCTTTTCACGAGGCGGGATCCAACCTCATCGCACAACCTATTGCTGCAGTAGGGAGGCGGGGTTCGTCTTCTCATAATTAGCTATTTTCCGAACGGGTGAACAGTTCAAGGTTACCACTTTGGTATATTGTTACCAAAACTGAAAAAATAAAGAAAAAAGATAAATTAAGATAAAAAAAGATAAATAAAGATACTTTTTTGATTTTGGTGGATTTTTGTTTGAAAAATAAATAAAACTTTTCGTTATCGTTTTATTTTTCATAAATAGTTATCTTTTCATTACAAATTTCTTTCCAAAATTGCAGTATACTTTATTGCATTAGTTTTCGAATGCTTTAATGCACACTTTTTATATACATACGTATAAATATACATATATCGAAATAAGGCGAACATATCTGGCTCCATTCAAAACTCTTTTTATTGGATTTCCGAGGAGCTTTTGATTGCCTAACTATTTTAAATGATTTCTTAAATAAAAAGAAAAAATGGACAGCTATGTAACTACTAGGGATGTTAGTTTTTTTTCCGGAATCCCGGGATTAGTCCCGGGACTTAGATATTCATTACTTTTCCACAACTTAAATAGAAAAAATTGCTTCTAAATAATAAATAAATGAGTTTGAAACCTACTTTTTTATCTCTCTGACGTCAGGATTTATTTTAAAGGACTTCGTAATTTGAAAGATATGATTAATTCCAAAAATTATTTAAAAAACTCAATGCATTGTAGAATAAAAATATGGGTACCAAATGAAAGAGGAAATTTCTTTGGAATTTAAACAAAATTAAAATTTTTTGTATTTACATGGACGAATCGGTAATTTTTTAAGCTGATAAAGTTAGAAGGACGAAATTCGGGGTTGTTGGCGAGTTTATATAAGTCCTTAACAAATAATTTTTTCAAAAACAAATATTGCGAAATTTCAAGGATACAATTTTAGAAGGACATTTTCAATACTTACCAGTCCTTACGCACTAAAGCATTGAATCTGCTTAAATTCTACAGAATTTCCTCTTTAATTTGATACCCATACTTCTTCTCTAAGCACATTTCACTGAATTTCTTAAATCATTTGTGAGTTACAGACGTCGGAGTAAATATATTGATTTTTGTCAGTAAAATTTACTGTCGCACGGTGGTATATGTATAATGAGCTAAACATTTACGGCAATTGTTAAATGAAAAAAAAAACACAAAATACTGGCGGCAAAAAAATAAAAAAATACCAACGGGAATTTTTAGGCGCACAATGTTGGTTATGCTCAAATATTATGGGCTATAAAATTCCATACCTTAAATTGTTCAAAAAATTCAGTAAAAGGTTCGAAATTTAGACGAAAATATTTTGAATTTTTCTAAATGTTGTATTTAGCTTGAATCCTTGATTTTTAAGTGCTTGGTTAAAGCGCAAACAATATTCTTATAAAGAAATACCAAAAAAGGTTTGCTTGACCAAGCGGTTTTTTGAGTCACTGTATTTATCTGTTAGTCTGTTCCAATAGCTGTACGGTTTACAGGATTTAGTCAGAACTTACAGGAAGTCGTTCCTATTGACATAAAACCTGTAAGTGGGAACACCTTTGAGAGAGTAACTGAGCAACTGTACCTAGTCAGAAGTTACAGGATTTAGTCCGCAGTTTTTTTTCCTGTAAGTTCATGAAAAGTGTCAAACGATCAGTTGATTTGCATGTGAAAACAAAAACAGAAAGCGGTGAAAGCAAAGAACCTTATATTTGTAAAAAAATGGAAGTAGACAACGAAGTATTTGAATATGTATAGATTTTATTAATTATTTAGTGATATTTCAGCCAAATCAGTGTTGTGCCAATGACATGTAAACAAACCGACTGACGTTTTTACGGGAAATAGTGCTTTTTGCGTTCCCGTGCACCTCTGCATCTGTTCTCCTTCTACTCTCACTTGAGAGAGTATAATAACTCCAGTTGAAGTTTTTTCAAATGATGAAGTTTCGTTGTTGCCTTTAGTTTCATCACTTTCGCTTTTGGTTAATAGAGAAGATACCGTTAATATGAACGCAAATACCGTATAATTAGTAAAATAAAAAGTTCCTTAAACACAATTTGAATTCTTATTGAAATAACGGAAAAAATAACAAAACTATAGTTTTTATTACAATAACCAATAAAAAAGTTATTGGTAGATATTTCACAGATTTGGTAGATTTTTTCAAGTGGATAGTAAGTACGGTTGCTACCCAGAGGATACTTCGGGTAAACATCGCAAATCGTGAGCTGCTTTAACTAGAAGCAAAGGTGAACGATTTGTAAAATCATGTTAGCAATGTTAAGTAGTCGAGATTTAGTCACAACTACATAGTTGGAAAATAATGAACTCGTAGTGAATTTCTAGCTAGTTGAGTATATGTATACATATATACCAGTCTAAATATAATCTTAGCTGTCAACAGCTTACTGAGTAATTTGTGTAAATTCTCAATGGCAAATAGTTACCACTCATTCCTTTAGTACAAATTCACATAAATCAATCAATAGATACAACTAAGGACATACTACCCTACATATCTATAAATACTTATTTATAAGAAATTTTACGCAATAAATAGTAAAGATGTAAAATTTGTTTCTATTTTTACACAGTACTTGATTGCTATTGTCCTCCTTATTGCTGCCGCCCAAGCTGTACCCATAGAGTATGGACATTATCCAGGGCCGCTGTTAGCCCATGCCCCAGTTTTAGCCCACGCAGTGCATGCCGAACCTGTGGTTTGTTTAATGTTTATTAAATACAAAAGATAGGTCTATTTTGCATACTTAAACTCTTTTCCCTCTTTTAGGCATACCCGAAATACTCTTTCAACTATGGCATTAAAGATCCGCACACTGGTGACATTAAATCGCAAGCCGAAGAACGTGACGGCGATGTAGTAAAGGGCCAATACTCGCTCGTCGAACCCGATGGTTCAGTGCGCACTGTTGATTACACTGCTGATGATCACAACGGATTCAACGCCGTCGTACACAAAACGGCACCAAAAGTAATCGCTCATGCCCCGGTGTTGGCACACGCTCCTCTACTGGCACACGCTCCTCTACTGGCACATGCGCCTGCTCCGCTTCTGCATCACTATTAAATGGGCTAACGTTTGGCTAAAGGGCGTTTGGAAGAATTGGATTTGGAACTTGAAAAAAAGATCGTTTTAGAATTGAATGGATTTTGGAATCGATTAGAAAGTTGTACGTGATTTATAACGTCGAGGGGTTGGCCAAACGATCTTACAAACAGGACAGCCACCACTTCACCACTCGCCACCCAGCCACTTACAATATTTGCACACCCACTCACATACTCATTAACTCAATCAATCATTGTACTCGCAATGCAAACGGGTACTTGCATTTATCGAATAATATGTTAAGCGATTTTAAATGCAACTAATCGATAATTAATGTTTAAACAAGGGTTTATTCAAAAGGCGATGAAAGCGATTAAAATGTTGAAAAGGCAGGAATAGAACAAACAAATGAAATGAAATGATATTACATTCTCTCTCTCACTCACTCACTCTTCGTAGTTTAACAAGTTTATCGTATATATATATGTTTTATTTTATTAAACAAATAATGTAGAAGAAGAAGAAGGAGTAGTAGTTATAGTAATAGTAGACGAAAATGGAGATCATCGTTCATATTATGTAATGTAGGGACTTACTTTCTTTCTCTTTACTATACCTTTGTTCAAACATAGACTTTTTCATTTTCAACTCTCTTTTACAAACTTTCAATGCCTATCTGATGAGTTATATCTTCTTCTAATCCAAAGATTTTTTTCATATTTTCAAACAGTGAGGTTTATTTTTAAGCTTGGTTTCGGCTTTCAAACTAGAGAGTGAACTTGTTCACATAACTGTCACTATATTGAGTGAATTTAGAGTCTAGTAACACATCCCATATTCTTAAGCTAAAACGAGTCCACCTTCTCTAACGAATTCACTCGTTCATAAATACTCAGAAATGCTTTTTATATCCTTTTCTACACTTTTGTAAAATATTTATGTTACTACATTCTCTAAGACTTTCTAGATATTTACTTTCAACACTTACATCCAATTTCACGAAAGCAACTTAAATGAAAAATTAGTTAAATTTTCTTGAATTCATATGGAAATTGACAGAAAAGAAAAAAAAAAACATTTTCCATTTAAAGTGCTGGTGAAATCGGCTATTAAACTTTCTTAAATTGGGAAATGTGTGCTAATTAGCTTCTACAGCTCTGCTGCAGCTCGTTTCTGTAACAATTTTCTACCAAGGCGAATTGAGATATTAATTCGCCGCCATGTTCTCTACTGCTAATGAGTAGTAGAGAATGACGTATATTCTCTACCAGTAGAGAAATAATCTGTAGAGATGAGTTACAGAAACGAGCTACTGTAGGGTTTTAAAAAGTGTAAAGATGCCTGTACAAAATCCCATTTATTCAAAGGAATTTGGGTAATTTGCTATATGATTTGGCATCGGGTTGATAAGTATGCAACATTAAGGGAAGAAAAAAGTGAAATTTATTTGTGCCATCTTTCAAAGTTCCGAGAAGAATTTTACATGTGAATAATTTCGCTCTCTAGTTCCTTTGTGCTTAACATCACTCCACTCCACTCACATGAATTAGAAATCCATGCGTTACAATCCGTTGCGTATGAATGAGCCGGTCACTGTGCATTAAAAGTAAAACAAAAAAAGCATTGGATGCTTTCATTTCTCATCAAGCATTCAATATTCTTTCTTTTTTATTGTCTCCAGCTCGCTCTCGATAGTCGTCCCATAACTTGTCTAGAATCTTGTCATTTGCATTTAATTTACTTTAACAGTCTGTCTTCTGATACTTATGCCTACATAATAATCAAGCTGTCTTAAGCTAATACTTAATTCTTTCCTTTCAGTTTACTCATATTTCTTATCTAAAATTCCTTTATTTGTGAAGCCTTTTTCGTGACTTTTATGAATAGCTTACTTCTTATACTCTCACCTATTCTCCTCAAAAAGGCACTCAAGTTCTCTCATCTCGTCTCACTTGTATCACTCATGAGCGCTCTTTTGTATTATATTATAATGGTTTTAATATATTTGTATTTTAACTTTGTTTTTTTTTTTTATGGTAAATTTAATTATAATCATTTATGAAGCAATGGAAACCAACACCATATATTTTACATACATTATTAATTTGTTTATGTTTGCATAAGTGTTTGTGAAAGCCTTGTGGTTAGCCAAGGGCCTACAATGTTCTCCAACTAATTGTGCTGTACCTACGATAGTTTCATGTATTTTTTTTTTAATAAAATGTCTACAAATTACTGTAAAACATTTTCAAGTGAACGGCAAAGAAAAAAGGAAAAAGTGTTACTGTAAATACATACAAATGTAAATACATAACAAAAATAAAAATACACACTCATGAAATGTATAAAAACAAAATAAAAAACTTTTTTAAAAACTTAAGTCGCCTTTTTTTCTTGTAAGAAACGCTCTGATGTTAGTATTACGGTTATGCCCTTGGAATGTCCGGACCCTCTATAGGGAAGGTGCCTCTATCTTACTGCTGGATATCCTCGAAAAGCTGACAACGCTGCAATCCAGGAACGGGGCACGGCTGCATCAAATAGTACAGCTGCCATGAGACGACGCACAAATTTGGTGTGGGATCTGTGGTTGGGCGGAGACTACAACACCTCCTCTCCAGGTTTACTCTCATCAGTGAATGAATCGCCACGATCCACATCAAAGCTAAATTCAACAACCTGAGCTTCATTTGTGCGCACATTCCGACGGAGGAGAGGGAAAATGAAACTAAAACGCTTAAAGGAAGCATATGAGTGCTGCCCCTGCCACTATGTTAAAATCGTGCTGGTCAACTTTAACGCCAGGGTGGGCAAGGAAGGCATTTTTGGACCAACAGTCGGAAAATTCAGCCTTCATGACAATACCTCCGACAACGGAGAGAAGCTGATCGACCACAAAGCCTTTTTGGTATTCTCTGATCAAAGAACGAAGAACCAAATAGATCATGTTGTGATGGACGAAAGATACGCTTCGAGCATCCTTGATGTGCTTTCTATCCGAGGAGCCAACATTGACTCGGATCATTGCCTTTTTGCTAGTCAGTGTGTGGAAGAGGTGGTTGGATACTACCTCCCCTGGGTGCTGTAGAGATGTCCAGAGTACACTTGAGATGTGGAGACGAGGTGGGAACAGCAATAAGGCGGCTTAAAAATAACAAGGCCCCCGAAGCGGACGGTATACCCGCTGTGCTGTTCAAAGTCGCATATCAAAGCCGATATGCAAATCAACACACACCATATTTTTGTCGATTTTAAAGCTGCTTTTGATAGCACGAATAGAAGCTGCTGTAAGATGCCATGTCTAAATTTGGGATCCCCGCAAAACTAATACGGCTATGTAGAGTGACGTTGGGCACAACTTTCCGCTCCGTCCAAATAGAGGAGGACCTCTCCGCACCGTTTGATATCAAACGAGGTTTTAGACAAGGCAATTCGCTCTCATGCGACCTTTTTAATTTCAAGAGCAAACTTAGTAGCTATTGATGACACAGCCAAGTTGAGTCTAAGCACGCCGACAGCTGTAGATGGTGCCGCAGCACCTGCCTTAGACGCCATTGTGAAAAAAACTAAATGTTAACAAGAGTTCATTCCTTCGTACTAAACCGCATCTCCGAGCTGAAAATGCAGATAGAGCGGAAGAAGGTTTTATGAACAAACTAGAAGGAGAGACTAAATTTACCGTTCATGGGGTGGTAATAGAATGAAATCAGGCAAAAAAAAAATAAAAATTGGAATGATTGCCACACCTGAAGAGCAAGCTAGTGCTGTAAAAGGTATGCTTGATAAATGGAGCATCACACACAGATTCGGTGCAATGTGTACAAATAAATCTGCTTCCAGAACACGTATGCTACTTGTGCACTTCTTTCTCTAGTAATTTCAATAAAATGAATGATAGTGCGCTAATTTTTTCCGTTCATCTGCTGGGCTGCGCTATTACTGCTTATGTGTATGTAATTGGAAAGGAGACTGGGACGTGATTTATTGTAAATCGCTTGTTGCCACTATAGGATTGAGGTTGTACTGAAGGGCGGCTTTGAAGCGACGCACACTGGGGCAGTATCTTCCGTCCTCAAGTGGTGCCATATTGGATCTGTTACCATATTTTCCAAGTGCTTCGAAATAAAGAACAAATTTTCATTATATAGCAACGGTGGGAAAACGGGGCTCTTTGCTTAGCAAAGTGCGGCTCTCTTTACTTTCTCTTTGCTTAGAACATTTTGGCTCTTTTTACTTTTTAAAATACATATTTCTTTGCTGAACATTCTTTTCGATTCGCAATTGGAGAACGAAAATTGGCTTTCTGACTTAACCGATATGATGGAACATTTGCAAAACTTGAATTTGTCTCTACAAGGAAAGAACAAAAATGTTTTTGATTTGTCGCAAATTGATTTAAGTTCTGAAGCTTAACTACGTATTTTTATTCATGATCTCAAGAAAAGAATATTTCATAATTTTCCGTTGAGAGAGCAAAATGACATTTCATTTTGAGGGAAAGGTGCTAGTTTCTGCTGGAAAAATTAAGTAAGTAATTATTCGTTTAGTTAGTGAACTATGTCAGGATAAGACTTCGGGATTTGTTTTGTTACGTTTTCAGTTTTATACTTTTGAATGTAAACAAAATTTCTGTCAGCTGTTCGTCTAACTTGCAAGTTTCTGTGCGCATATTATTTAGGATATTTTTCTCTTGTGAGAGAACAGATGACATTACGCCGAAATTTTTCTGTTGGACATGGTCGTATTGAGAGGACAAAATTAACCAGCAGAAAAAATTCTGAGAATTTAGCAGCATTCGCTCTCAAAGAGACAAAATATCCACAGAAGTATGAGAACACAAAATTTGCAAAAACTTGCATCCTTCGAAACAGCTGATCACTTCCACAGTTGCCACTGGTGGGTGAGATGGCAATTTATTCTCTGCTCGGTACATTTTCCCCGATTTTGCATTTTATACAATTGCAAACTTTTGGAATCGAAAAACCTTTTTAAAATACAAATTAATTATATCGGAATGAATGAAAAATGTTTCTCAAAGAAAAGGTTGTCCTACAAACACCCATCCTTGGTCCAAACAAAAATTAATAGATATCTACAAATGTACATTTAAAATTATAAAATTATAATTTCAACAATCAACCTAGCAAAACTGACAAATTCGGCCAACAATACTTCAGCTTGCTGCATTTTTATCTATTTTGGTATATTTAAAGAACAATTATGGTACAAACGAAAAATGACATACGGCAACCATAGGCAGCACACACTAAAATAAACAAACTGGAGATTAATAGTAAATTAACCAAAAATAAACTCAACAAACCTTGTACTTAATAACTTTACTCTCTTTTTCATTGTATATTAGCATTAATAATAAAATTTACCATAAATAATTCAAGAAGGTCATATTTTCTTTCGTTCATTTACAAACATATAATTGTGATCAGCTGATTTCCTTACTTGCAAGTTTTCGCTGGGAAAAATTTTTCCAGCAGAAATTTGCAGCTCTCTATTACATTTTGCTCTCTCAATTTTCCCTACTTTGCAAGTTTTTTGGTTACGAGAACGCAAAACCAGTAAAAGTTTTTTAAAACTTTTGATAGTTTTGCGTACGAGTACACTCCTATTTTTTACTGGAAATTGAAACGAATATTTAACCGAACCGTTACGAACGGCTTTAACTGATGTAAAACCATATTTTGAAAATTTGGCCCAAGGGGTCTTTTGAATTTTCTTTAATATCTATCTTATGTTCATTAGAATAATAATAAAAGTAATGATTTTAATTTCTAATAATAATTTTATTTAAAAATTATAAATAAATATAAATTTTTGTTGTTGTTGTTTTTGTGGATCTTTGCAGCATTTAGAATTTACATGTGGCTCTTTTCGGCCTCGGCCTTGCCCACCCCTGTTATAGAGTATTACAATACCTCTTCGAAGGTAGCTTCGCGTTGCACGACTAATGTAATCTGGGTTCTCGTGCACGGAGATAGGAGAAAGGAACTAACCTCAGGCAATCAGTTCTGCAGAAAATGCGGGCATACCACTATTTTCAAGCTAACCAAAACCACAGCTGGGCTAGGGAATCCACTTGTGACGCAACCGGGAAAATTTAACCAAGAATGGATGGAAACAGATCTGAGTCCCTATTTTTTCTTGATCGTCTCTTCATTAGCTCAGTGGTTGT